ACACCGCAGTCTCACAAAAGAAGAGTCAAAATTGTAACTTCCTCACTTCCATCTGTTATTTGTGACAACTCTTCATTTAATGACTGCACTATCAGTTTCAATCTCGGCGTTATCTTCTTGCTCTAAGAAAAGGTTTTTAGATACAAATTGCAACTGCTAAAACTCCTCCTGCACTTGTCACACACCTTTTAAAGATGGCACTTCCTTCTACCATGAACAAGCATTTCTTAGGTTCTTCCCACAAACAGGAAGTCCACCTCCTTTAACACTAAGATGTCCACAAGGGGATAAAATGTCTCAAAACCAATTTCATTTCACAGAGATTTCCCTGCGTAATATTTCATTATCTGTGAGGGGCAGTCACTGTGCAAAAGTTAACTGTTACACTGGTCAAGTTTTTTTCTACAATGCCCAGAGAGGGGGACGGACAATCTGACCCCTTGTAAAATACCCCCAAATCACTTCTCCAAAATAATGACAATCCTAAGACTCAACAATCTGCCTTGGTTTAACTTGTCTAGAATCGATTAGAGAACTCTTTTTATAAAGTGCAACCAAATATTACAACAGACAAACTATTATTTCCAAGGAGGGCAGTTTGCCTCTGTACGAAGCACGTGGCCAGAAAATGTATTGGATTCCAGATACCTGGGGAGGGATGAATACTATCCATGTGATGAGTGTGTCTTATCCAGCCAAACCTTAATAAGTACGCAAATGTTACTAGTATCAATTACTCCAAAACTCGCCTCCGAGGTGGAAGGAGAAATACACGATGATAGTCGGAATCATCCTGGGAGCTATACCACGACAAGCGCGGTGATATTTCACTTACAGTGTACCAAGCCAGGGCCAACAAGAAAGTCCATGCCATTGTCACCACTAGCACCAACCAAATGACAGACACACAAGAAAGACAGCAAGACAATATTCTGTCAAGGCCTTATCAAGAAGACTTTATAACATTCCTCATACAGCTGTTATTCAGCGGCGATGTACAGTACCACAAATGCAAGATATCCGAAAGAAACAGAGGATTTATGAGAAGAGTGCATAAAGGCATAATGGCCTACTGAAGAGTCAGATGATCACTGCAAGAAGGTGCATAAGAAAAAATTCAAGTGGTCCAGATGTAAGAAGTTGTTTGCAAATTGTGGAAAGGAAAGGCTCGTTACTTCTCTGATGACCACATTTTGGCAAAAGCAATGAACAAATTAATTACTGATAGTCTGTATTATTATATTTGAAGCATATAATACTTTTGAACTAAATGAACGTTCAAATTTGAAACACCAGATTATTTAAATTTTCAAAAAATGGACGGATCAGTACACCGAGAACGTGAAGGAAAATAAAAGATTGTATGTTAGAAAATAATGTAAATGAAATGCTGAATCGTAATACAAATAATAAATATATAAGTAATCAAAAAAGTGCTCTTCTATTATTTACGATTGTTGTGAAGTGAAGTTTGTGTTTATTACTGCCATCTGTACACAACAAACAAATATCTCACGTCTTTACACGTTTCAGGCTGATTTGTCCAACTTCATTTGTTCCTTGCTCAATTTTCACTGCTAAATATCCTAGGTTGCGGTTTCTATAAATTAGGGCCGCAGTTACAATATTTGTTGCTTCTTCTTAAGTTAAACTTAAAGACTAGAACCTCTTCTTCGATTCATAATACACAAGTCGTGCATCACGAACTTTTGTTCTTTACAGCAGAATTGTCCGAATGCGGAGTATTCTCGTATTAATTTGATTGGTTGCATTTTCACAAAACTCTTCTTTTGTGGATGTTGTTTGAAGACGCCTGTAAAATATATTGCTGTATAAATCTATCTCACTTCAGTACATATAAGGACTTTCTTGTACCCAACTATGTCCTCTGTTTCATCAAGAGGTATTAAAATTTTAAAGGCGTTTAAGTAGTCTGGTTAATTGCTGGAGGAGATGGTAATATGACTATTTTGATAACAGTGTTTTCAGGCTGTTAAATATCTAATTAAGATTATCTTATCAGCATCATTTAAATATGGGTTTGTTTCTGGGGACAGTATTTGTAGTATTTTTTTTAAGTGCTGCCTTTCTTTAATATTTTTATCCATATTTAAATTGCAGGAGTATTCTGTGTGCTGTGTAACGACGTAAACAATAAACATATACATTCTACTATTCTCCTCTTTCAACCATTTCTTGCCTATTATTCACAAAATGAAATGATACAGCTGTTTTGTTGTTATATAACATTGTTTAAAAACGACACTGAGCACGTCATTCAAACAAAAACAAACTACGCAGCTTTCTTCCTGGTAAATTTAACAATTTGACAAAAACTGACTGCTTTTCTGACGAAGCAACCCGATAGTATAAAACATAAAAAAATGTCAACTACTGCTATCATAAAGATCACATCGTTATGGACACCATCAGCATCAGGGAGAAACAATTGAAAGCTGCTAAACCCTTATGAGCAGCAGATAAAAACACCTTTACAGGTTGCAAACGTTCCCTCAGTCACCGTCGAGTATTATACTGTTGAAGACCACGGCAAAGAGTGAAGGTCGAGCGTTTCCAGGTACTGAACAAATACACTGCGTCATTCCTGCCTCAGAAAACTAAGCACAAAAAAAATCTGTTTTCAGAAGTGAATGTGTGTCTACCACCACACATACAGCACAGTCGCAAGATGAAGATCTTCAAGTCGAAGACAGAATTTTTAACTTGCAAACGCGACAGAATGTGGCAGCTTGCATGAGTGTAACAAGCGAATGACAGTGAAATTCAACAAACATTTTTACATCCCCCCTGGCCGCAGTAAATCTTTCACTGCCAAACATTTTGTGGGTTTCAGCTTTTAAAAGTGCTCATAAAAGTACGTCCAGGAACTGCAACAGGCCACGCATATCAACAGTGGAAAGGAATCTCATCAACCCACTCATTTCAAATGACATTTTCAAAAAATTGTATTTACAGAATAACAGAGAAAGTAAATTAAACATGGTTTCTGATTTCTCATAAATCAAGGCCAAAATGTTAATGTGCTTCAAAATCTTATTGTGATGTGCCAAATTAAATCCCACCTAAGAGCTTCTAAATGGTACAAGAATAAGCTCTAGCTCTTAATTAAATCCAGAGTTAGAAGAACGTAAGTGAATCAGATTGCAGGAAAGTGTAAGGAAAAACTTCATATTTAACACTTGCTCGTCAGACTCCGTGACGTCGCTGAGATCCCAGGTGCTGTGTTGACTGAACATGCAATGACCATCTAAGGACACACAAACCACGAATCTTCCTCGTCACACAGTGACCGAGGACGCCGAAAAGCTTGCCGCCGGCTTAGATCACCAAATCTAATGTGTTTTTCTTAGCTACCGACAAAGGTACACAGACTCTGCCAAACTTGCGGTGTTCGTGCCTAGGGATGATGCTGTGTGTCAAATCATCATCTTAGTTTTTTAATAAACTTCATGGCATTTATACAGAGTACTTTCAATGGTTGGAAGATTGGCTTAGTTACAGACATAAAGAGCCACGTTTAATTCCCTGAATTTGAATGCAAATAAATTAAGCATTTATCACACTATAATCCACCAGCAACATTTACGTGCCAAGTCAATAATAACTTACACATATATCTGAGCCTGTTAATTTTATAATTTTATAAAATCACATTTCACCACCACCAGTTTCTTCAATTCCTTGAAGGCGCAATTTGTTAATCTGAAATATTTCTATGAAGTTCAACTGTTAAAATAAAGAGAAAAATGTTGAATTGGTTTTATGGCATTAGGAGTACATGTTCTTTCGTGGTAACTGAAGGTAAGGACATGCCAGAGCCTGTCAACGATGCTTCGGTTCATAACCTTGCTCATCTGGTGGATTAGACAGCCAAATCAAACGAGCTAAATTTGAATCTACGAGGCAAAAATCAGTTAGTTCATAAACTTTTAAGTCATGTCAAATCCTTCCAGACCAAACATCACCTCTGGGAAACTCGACTTTAGCATTCTACTTTGCAACAATCACCTCTGGGAAACTCGACTTTAGCACATTGCAACATTCTACTTTGCAACGCCGGTCTAACCTCGTAACATATTTATAGATTCTTTCCAGATTAATTATGTTCACTAAATAATATAATAATGTCAATGAGAGATTTCAAGAATGTAAGAGCCAAGAGACAAGATTCAGCCCCTTTTAATATCATAGTTGACAATGCACCACAGAGGCTCCAAATGGAGCTGCATGAACTAAACACAGCAAATCAGAAGTCACATAAATCATCATTATTATACTATTACTAATCACTGACCAACGACGAATTCACATAACTGGCAGCAGTTTTCTAGGAAGGAAGTTTGTCTGGTAGCACCTATAAGTATTGTAGCCCTCGGTAGACCAGTGGTTAGCTGCATTTAAAGGTATTACATCTGCCGTGTCTCAATAAATAAATTTACATACAATTTAAAATTTGTAAACCCCCTAAAAAACCGCAAAAACTGTCTTACACTCAAAATTTTAAAATTTTAAAAATCTTTAAAATTTCGAAATACAGAATTAAAAACTTTATAATTCCCACAAACGAAAGCCCAACATTTAAAATTTGTATTTAAACATCTATCCTAACCTAAACTGAAATGAAACATAACCAAACATAACTTAACCTCACTTCCCTTAACTGTCATTTTGTCATCACCGCTCACAGATATTAAAAAATACAGTAAATACTGAGGTCATGCACAATAGCACAACCTCCATACCACATTTCATCATAATGTGTCCAGTCATTCTCGAGTTGAACTGACTGGACAGACAGATCAACTCAACCAGCCCATAATGTGTTCTCCCTATGCACTTCATGCAAATAACGCATAAAAAGTGACACTACTCTTGAAATGCTTTGAAGTAAATGTTTATAAGTGGAAAAAATTAACTGACAAAGGGGACACCACATGAAGGCCCCCTTCACAAATGATCGTGCTATGCTACAGACTGACCTGATGTAGACGATAGCCCCATTAATGTGGAGTCTCTTCCAACCGAATGGCACCGTTATAGTCGGCACCACTGGCTGCACAGGAACCGACGAAACTGTCGGTTGAATCAAGTTGTTATTGTTCAATGGTCCAGTATTTGGAGGAACTGCCATAGCTAACACAATATTGCCAAGTTGCTGCTGTGAAAGTGATATGGCACCACTGGGTGTTCGCACTATTCCCGCAGCCTGAGAACCAGACTGTTGTACAGTCACACCATTATTTAGCATCACCATGCCTGCAGCACTGTTAAGACCAGGGTGGACAGCAGGACTCTGATGAACTAAACTATTGTTCCCGCTCGTAACTAAATGAGGGTTATTCACTGGAGTCAAATGGTGACTTGCTGCTGCAGGTGGAAGGAGCAAAGCCAAAGAGTTTGTACCAGCATCTGGTTGACTGTCTGCCGAACTTAAACTGCTACAACTTGATTCGGCTGTTTCCGACCGGACCGAATCACATCTTGGGAAGACGACAGTCCCACTTGAAGGTGTTGATGAACCGGCAGTGCCCCCATCACACCCCATCACAGCCACTACGTTAGCGGCATCTCCACCTTGAGATGTAGTAATAAAATTAGTTGCCGCAAGAGCCTGAGACACTGAGGAACTATTGCCACCACTTTCGTTGCGTGCATTATTCTTCTGGTCAGGCCTGCTGAAGAATGTCTGGGCGCACGTAACAGCGACGCGCTGTTGCTGTTGACGATGATGTTGCTGCTGCTGTTGATGATGTAGCTGTTCGTGCACGAGGGCCTGGGGAGGCTGAGGCACAACAGAATACCCATTACAGAGCTGCTCATTAGAATTACTGATAATGCCGGAAGGTACCTCAATATTGCCTGGACAAACAGCCTGCTGCTGTCCAATGTTTGGATGGCCTCCTAAATTCACAAGGTTTTTAACAGATGTACCATTTCCAAATCCTTGGTTCAAAATTGCATCAGTGTGACCAACATTATTATTGCTACATGCAATGTTATTTATGATATTTGAACCATGACTATGTTGGAAGCCATTAGTTTGCACAAGCCCACCTGGGGTATTTGTCGATGCATAGAAACTTGCCTGCTGAGGTAAGGAAATATTACCAATGAGGCCATTGCTTGTAGGGAAGTCCTGAGTTTTAATTACAGGAGGTTTGACATTTTTCATGGGTGCCCCTATGGGGGCCACTGATTGCGTTGAAGGGTTGAATGTTCCACCATTCTGTTGGGACTGTTGTGGAGGATATGAAGCAGTAACATTTTGTTGATTAACTGCTGTAGCATATGCTTGAGCAGAAAAATTATCATTTGACACATACACTACAACATTCTGCACATTTGGTGGTTGTTGATGGTGCTGAATGTGATTTTGAGGAGGCTCAGGCTTGCCAGCCATTGTCTAACGGTGTTGCCAACACAACAGCCACCACCATCACTGACACACCACATGTACATAGGCACGCCACTATTCCTGGTAAACTCTGAAATTAATGGAGAAGTATAAATTAGTATCATCATAACCCACAAATCTTGCATAATGATAATTTCATACCGCTATACTGTTTCAAATTTCACTTTATGTTCCTTTCAAATGGAATTTTGCAATTAACCTGACTTTCACTCGCACTTATATTTAAATATTCCTCAAGGACCATTAAGTAACAAATCCACATACTAAATTCCGCACAAATGCAGAAAAACTGGCAGTCGGTAACATTAATATGATCGAACATTACAAATATATAACATAACATTCAATGATATAACCTCATAATGGACGTGCCAGTTTTGCTATACTCAAACCTACGGCTTATGCATTACACAAATCACGTAATGAATGCACTTCATGTTACATGTCATAAATATGCAGATTAACATACCTGCATGACGTATTTGATGCATATGTTTGTATTTCCGGGAAGATGTTCCTTCCTGACATTACACTTCAAACAATATGCACAACTACAAGGGCCTATCCAGGTATTCGGCTGTTGTTTTGATATCAATGTCATCAACACTGCATCCCGTAAACTGCCCAACACCTGCGCGAAATCACTTCTGTTTTCAACCGTCTGCTTTATAATGATACACTAAGAAACCAAACACTTTGTTTACTGACACCTTAAAATTGTAAATTTGATCTGAATTCACATAAATGACATAAGTAAATACAATACGGAATAATCCTTGCTTTCCCTCCACAATATTTTCGCATATGTAATATCGGAAAAATATGGTTCCCTTCCTTCACTCCCAGAATTCCTTGCGGTACTCGACGGCTTATTAGGTTCCATGATGCAATTCAATAAAACAACTGAAATGTAAAAAGCGTAATCATGGCAGTGTTCACGAATCTATACTTGCCAACGTGTAATTCTATGTTTAATATCTAATCGACAACAGATATAAAATTTGTTTTCGTATAATACAGAAAATTAAATGTAATCTGATTTTATTTATTTAATTTGCTAGCATGACAGAGAAACACTGTTCGAATCTATTCGAAATTCGGATTTCAACACAATGGAAAGCAACTGGAACTTTTTTCTTTGTACATTTTTTGCCGGGATAGTTTGCTAATTCAACACAAGAGCGAAGCACAAGCAAGTTCTGCTGCAAAGTACATGGATATCTGGATAGAAGATAAAAAAAGGAGTAAGGACTCTCATGTTGTGCGTGGTGTGGTGCTAAATATACTAAGTGTTTCATAATATCTGATAATTTAGTAGTGTGTACATAAAACTTCTTCCAGTACGGAACATAATCTAGGGGTGTTGCTTGGACTAGAAGTGGTTAATCTGTCAGATTTATATGAACGTCATCGAACGTAAGAGTCCTTGTGGTTAGCACTTCTTCGTGTGGAGAGGTCTCAGGTTTAGATCTGAATGTGAGCGTTGATATTACCAAAATACTACTACAAATTAGGATAATAGCATATCTTTCCATAACCTTTACAGCTCATTAATTATTATTCCTATTCAATGCCATTTGATTTGAGCTGCTGATAACTAGTTACATAAACTACAGACAACCTCCATTACAAATGCTAATTTAGTTCTTTGGTATTGATCTAATAAAACCAGTTATTCCATATCCAGTTCACTTGATTTGCTGCATTTGGTTGTTTACCTTCTGTATGTGTGTCTTGTATTGTTCTGAACCTTATAATCTCCTGGAACTGTATTTACTCCATAGTTTGTTGGTATTGAATTGTTGAACACATGCTTCTGCCACTGAAGCAAATCACTTGTCTTACATGACTGAATGCTGTCTTGCAGTTCCAGCAACTTATATCACCCCTCTGGAGTGTATGCATATTGTGCTTGCCTGTGAGGAGTGAAAAGGTGAACTCTTTTGTATATCTAATGAGAACATCTTCATAAAAGTCAGGCATGACATATATCCACACATCACTCATTCCCCTAAACGTGGTCTCATATCAGTTCAAATAAAACATGATCACTACCTAAATTAAACAGCCATCATTTAATGTATGTGAATAATAAATAAACATCAAATTTAGTAAAGGAAATTGAGTAATTTGCAAACCTGTTTGCAACAGAAAATAAGTATCTTTAATAGACTACTATAATCTTTGAGTAAATTGTCTTATGTAACCTAGCAGTTCATAAGAAAAGGGTGAATGTGTTCTCCAGTTCTTAAATGATTGAGAATCTCTGTTGCTGGTTGTTACTTCTTCGTGCCTATCAGCAGTATTACACAAGTAATCGAAAACTGTGGCAGTATAAGATGTACACCATAAATGCATCTGAAATGAACCCTTTTTAAACATATAATCTTGGTACTGCTGTAAAGGTTACAAGGGAACATCAAACAGTAATTCTGAATGCAAACATATAAAGTTCCTGATTATCCCAAGATGTCTTTGGTTTATGATCTGGGGGGTGGAGGGGTGTTTGTATATATTTTCTTCTCTCCCATCATTACTGAACTGAGTTAATTCAGGTCTGGAAGAAAACAGACATCACTAAATGATGGACTACTGTAGTTTCATAAGTGATGTGCATTTATACAAGTATATGACAGATCGCATGTCAATAAACTTTTCATGTTTATGTAGCACATTCTAAGTTCCCACTCTAGCTACAGTGTCATCTGTGTGCTGCGACTTATAAATTTAAAAAAAAAACAATGGAAAGTAACCCAGGATAATAATTATACACAACATTTTTGTACAGTGTAATTTTCTTTTCAATAAAAATTTGTGATTTGTCATCATCGTCATACAATTTGTAGCCAAACAATTACATCAACAGACAATGTTACATTATATTTGTTTACTCGGCATTGTTGTACCAATAACAATGCCGAGTAAACAAATGACTTATGACTTGAGTAAGACACTAAACTAGTGTCTTACTCAAGATTTTAAAACGTAAGGAATGAATACTGAAAAGTGACTTGTAAAAACCCTACTAACATTCTGCTAGCAATAGTCTCTAAACTTGGAATTTTTCTATTGAACCTTGGCTACCGTCAGGCTCAATTTGATTCTGGAATCTTTTGCTAGAGCAGTCTTTGAGAAGCTGACACTGCAACTCAGTCAAGAAATTGCCTTTTTCGGAACCCGAAGGTTCATTACCGTGTTCACAAGTGTCTGCCACCAGTCCCTACCCTGAACCGGTGAATGCCATCAACATGAAATATCCAAGTTCCATTTTAATGTTATCCTCCTATCCAAGTCTGAGGCCGTATGTGATAGTTCATAACATCCAGCTTTTACGGTGAGGAATTGTTGGCTCCCATCCAACCAGGCCTTGTCAGCTGTTTAGGACTCCCTATTCAATATATTCACAACTACCCTCCATTGCTTTGTGAAACCTTCAGGGCGGTCATGGCGCAGCTGCCAGCATCTCGGCCAAACTCGATGTATTAATTTAGTTGTCATATATCGCACCAGGCATCCGTCCGACAGCGCTTCCAACTTGGCATCGCTGCCAAGTGCTAATGCTACTGGCATCGTTGCCAAGGCCAAATCAACATCACACGACAGTCTGAGGCTAGTCCATTGACGTCCGTGCGTATATGTGCTTGTGTTCTTTAAAACATGGACAATTTCGACACGGAAAGTTTGGTAATTGAAATTCAGTCCCGACCATCATTATGGGATTCATCTGGTATTGAATACACAAACCGGGACTTGAAAAAAAGAAACTGGGAAGAACTTGTGCACATATTTGGAGGAGGAGATTTATCTATAGCAGAAAAAAAAGAATTAGGTAAGAAGTGTTTCGATGGCTTTATTTGTGGGGCCGCTTTCCAATATGGCAACTTGATTTTTAAGCTTTTTTGTTTATCAGTTTATACAATCTATATATCTATCGATATATCACCACTTAATATTAACAGTATATGTAATAATGAAAAATAAGAATGTAATTCTGTTCACGATTGCAAAAGTTGTATGTACAGAAATAAATCGTATTTGCGTTTTCAATCTGAAGTGCATTAATAAGTTTATTATTAAGTAATGATCGCCGGTCCACTTCTTAATTGCTATTGGTTCAGGGAGACGCGCCTTTAATGCGAATTTAAAAAAAGTGGTGTGCGCGATCTTATCTCTCCGAAACTTACACTTATTAAGTACGGTACCACGATATAAACCCAATATGCTCAATGTTGTTCAAAAACTTGAAAGTCGGGTTACCAAATTGGAAAGTACAGCCGTATTTGTACTTACACTGCATAAACGTAATATATGAAAAAGCGTTACACAGTAATTTGAAATTATATTTTGCCATGTCAATTTATCATCCTATCCTGCCATGGCAAAGGATTATCATTGACAAAATAATTTGCAAATTCGCCGCGAATAGTAAGTGCTGACCTTCCCCCTCTAGACAAATCTCTGCCCATTTCCATGTCACTTTGAAAGCCTGTCACTTGTAGAGTATCGTCATACTTATAACCCTCTCTTGAACATACAAAATTGTGCAGGACACAGCAAGTCTTCACAATTTTTATCGCTAAAGGTATATCAACATTCAATGGACGATGAAATATTCGCCAAATGCACATTCAATATATCATCGAGCCCTAGATAGTCTGTAATTAAATGTTTTTTTCTTATAACTGAGATTGTTGCTACCATGTGGATGCACAATGTTTACATGTAAGCCAAATGCTTCATCACCCACTATTACATACGGGACTTCAATTACACCATTTTCTGAAAGTCGCTTTGGCTTAGGAATGTGTAAGGAGATTCTGAGTTTCTCGTAAAGAGTACTTTCTTTAAATATAGATGAATCACTACTTTTCCCGTATGCACCCAAATATATATATATGTAAATTTACAATTTGCATCGCAAACAGCAAGCAATATAATAGAAAAATAATGTTTATAATTATAACAAAGTGAACCAGAGTCGGCAGGATGAATAACTGTTTCTCCCATCGATTGCGCCAATGCAGTGGGGAAAGTTAGCATTTCTTTCAAATCCTGCCGATATTATCTCCCATTTGTTATCTGTAGTGGGCATTTACAAAGATGTTTCCAGTTTGCGCCAAATCACATTACCCACCTCTCGTATAATTTCCGTAATTGTCGAATAACCGAGTCGAAAGTTGTAATGTAGGTCCATGAACGTACATGCAGTCTCTAAGTACCTGTAATGAATGAAAACAATTTATTTTTCAGGTCATGAATTACAAAAAAGGTGGAAAAACTTAAGAGGATGCTACATCCGAGAAGTGAAACGTCAAAAAGAAATAAAATCGGGGTCTGGTGCTGGTTCCCGCAAAAGCGAATATGTGTACTACAAACAGTTACGGTTTCTACAAAAAGTAGTAGCTATCAGAGACGCAGATGTCAAAGAAGAATCCACAGACAATTCTCGAAATGAAGAAGCCCAAACACAGGATACAGAAAATAATGTAGAAAAGCGATCTCGGAAAAGAAAAAGGTTTCAGACAAAGCAACAAAGTATTCAGAATGAAACTGATCCTTTGGTGGAAGTTCTGAATAAATCTACTGAAAAAAGGGAGCAACACGAAAAATCTGAAGATGACGAAGATAAAATGTTCTTGCTCTCTTTGCTGACTTCATTGAAATCAGTTCCCCCCAAAAAGAAAATGACATTAAAAATTAACATCATGTCTTTAATAAATGAAGTCATGCAGGAAAACCCGCGAGGAAGATCAACATTTCGTTAACGCGGTGGCCGCCCTAATCCACATTGGTACCGAGACGGATATTGGTCTTGATCGCCTGCAAGTAATACTACCGATACCTTTATAGAACTGCGTCAGTAAATTATGTGACTGATGCAAGGAGGTTTTATGAGAAATGTTCGATTAAAGTACAAATAATGTGAATTAAGAAGAAACCTGCTTTTATAATGTTTTATTAAATAACGTTTGTTCATGTAATATTACATGTGATTCGCAAGAACTGAAACATTTCAAATTCAATAATGCACAATGTGTATGGACGTTTAACAATGCAAAGTGTGTGTATGGAGAATTTTTTTTTACTTATTTCTTTGTTGCAGAATTGAAATTCACTCCAGGTATGTAGTTTTGATAAAGGTAAATCTCATTCCCTCCAAAGTGATAAAAGTGGACATTTCTCCTTCCTAATAACCCTTCATTTCTTGATCTGATAATGTTGATTTGTTGAACAGGGTTGTAGTAATTATTGTTTAATAAATACTGCTTTTTATTTTATAGTCACTAGCTTTCATAAACACAGCATCCGCAATGAAAATCTATAAAAATTACAGGAATATAGTAAAAGACAATACTAACCTTACTGTAACGAACAGCTTCTCTTCAGGACTGATGGACTTTCACAGAATGGTATCTTGTTTTGTCAAATAATTTTCACATATAGTTAATAATTCGTCAAATGATCCTATGGATAAACGCAGATAGCTAAAGAACTTATCAGGATATTTTCTTAAATCAGAGTATTTTTTGCAGAACATTCCACTTGTAGGATATTACAGGAATATAGTAAAAGACAATACTAACCTTACTGTAACGAACAGCTTCTCTTCAGGACTGATGGACTTTCACAGAATGGTATCTTGTTTTGTCAAATAATTTTCACATATAGTTAATAATTCGTCAAATGATCCTATGGATAAACGCAGATAGCTAAAGAACTTATCAGGATATTTTCTTAAATCAGAGTATTTTTTGCAGAACATTCCACTTGTAGGATGGTCGGCTACGAAAGGATGCACCCACAATCTCTGTTTCCTTTTTAACTTTTGTTTCCTACTCCGCACGTACGCAATTATTGCTATTACCTCTTCAACATCCATCTTGAAACTGCTTTTCGCTCGACTGGCGTCTTTTCTGGCAGCTGGACGCCATGGCCTCGCTGTTGGTGTCGCTGCCATGGCATGCTGGTGCCATACCGCCCTAAGATGTACCTTGCGTTGGTGACGAGGGACCCACCCACTCAGCATGGGTGTTTTGATATGTACTCCTTAATAGCATTCAGTCATCAACTTTCAAATGTAATATTAACTATGTCTTGGGTTATACTTTAGTCCATTATCCCAACATACACTCATGAGGCTGTTCATGTATTTTAAAACTGCGGTCACCGGGATTGACATTTAGTGAGAGTTGTTATGTCAGATATGACTGAAACATGTTCACAGTTTTTGCATCCACACATGTAACAAATGGAATAGTTACACATCTACTTCATTTTTAACATACCAAGAAAGTATGTTGGAGAATAATGTTTTACAGACAACTGTTTATGGTTACTGTTAACATCTGAATTGCTTCTGCGTCTCAGAAACCATAAACTGATTTTCTTGCTATTAAAAAGTATTGAACTACAAGATACATCCTAGTTTTAGGGGTTGCAAATCTAGAAAAAGTGTACAGCTTATATTTGCGTAAATACAATATTACGTCGCACAAACCACATTAGCCGGCCGCAGATTGAGAACACACAGCGTGACTTTCAATATTGCATGATTAAGAAACCAGTTCCATCATTCTCAGTGGATAGCAAAGACTCTACAGCATGGCCACAAACTGACCAACAAACAGATTTTCCAAACTTTCAGGCTCAGACATCACGATATCTAATTTGTCCCTGATGGTAACTATAATAGTGATATTACAACTGAAATGTCAGACTATTTTCAAACAGCAAGTCAATCGAGTACCAAGAACTCTGCTTTGAACTCCATAATGCTACAGCTCCACCCAAGTGAATGAGTCAAGTTCAAATTTTCAGCAGAAAAAACACTGGTAATCAACACTAAGACCTTTAAAAAATGCTTAAGAGTCAACTGTTTATTTTCTAATATTTAAGCCTTAAAATGAAGTATACAATGTTTTCCAGACAATACATACAAACTGCATTCTCTGTGAATCATATGACCAACAAAATCAAATTACACAGTACAACAGAATGGCTCTTGTTGGACCCACAACATGGAATAGCTAATTACATTTCATAAAACATAAGTTGATGACAAATAACTAAAACAACAATTTTCAGAAACACAGCTATAACATATTTATGCATAATTAAAGTTTCAGGCCTCGACATGGAATTGTACGGAGGTTACGAATGAATGATTCCTTTAACAGGAATTCTGTTACAATAAATAGACAAAACAAAACAAATGTGTACTGACTAAACCATCAAGAAATGGAAATACATTCTCTAACTTGATTCCTACTTCAAACATTGTGACCATTATTTTACTGAAATTTACTAGAAAAAAGTTTATCAGCTACATTAGAGCATAATTTTAGAGCAGGTCAGCAACGAGCAAAAAATATTTCATGTTAGAATAATTAAAAAGAGTGCAATGACATCAATGCCTTGAGCAGTGCCCGAAGCTACATACACATTTAGGTAGCTACTACGTTTCATAGCCATCCATACCAACAAACTACTAATAGGATGAGATGAACCACTGCCAAAAGTTGACTGTATGAAAAGCGCACTCATTTTCTCTCTACTTCAATTTCCATTTCTGTAACTCACATTCACCTTAGAAAGGATGATGATGACACCTAGTGTGTGGCACATTGTACCCTACTGGGTCCATGACCAGCTTCATCTTCATCATACGCATTCTTATACTCACGTCGCCTAGCTTCCTGCTCTGGATCCAGTTCCACTAACAGGCATTCCTCTGCACTGTCCGGAATCATCGTCTCGGGTCTGGAAAGGAAAGAGCATTCATTTATGCATCATTTAATGTCACTGTCAACGGTGCTGTCGTAGTCAGGGCAGGAGCAGACGAGTGCCTAATACAGATGATAATGTCCCAATCAGTACCCAAGGAAATGCTTGAAACAATACTAAAGATGTTTTAGGCGTTGCTGTCTGAGGTCGGCTTACTGTCCGTGAGCAGACCTCAAGAATTCTACCATGTGAATGACTGGCAACAGACTGTGGTCGACATGCTGAGAAGGGCTACGGTGAACACCTCTTAATCAGAAGTGTATGCAAATATTCTGAAACCATTCTGTGGTTGGCAGGACTGAATGGAAAGGAAACCATTGAATGTGCATCATCTAGAACCCATGTAACTGTGCCACTATGAATTCTAGCATCCGTGATATCACGATGTGTTATACTAATGGTGGCACAGGGACCTCTCGGTAACATCTACGTGATTATTGTTCTGAACCTCACTGGCAATTCAGAACCAAATGGCTAGTCTTACACCATCAGCAAGGTTGCGAACCACCACGGAAGTAAATGCCCATCACTCCGAACCCTAAGTGCACATGCATAGGCCCACAGAGCTTCAGCGTAATTGCAGTCGATTACACCGCAGTCCCCATTCAGCAGCATTGTCATGAGGGCACGGGCAAGCCAACAGCTTGCTGACAAGAGTACTATGTAGGTATGCATTAATCATGGCTTCGGCTTTGCACCTGGAGTTGCGTATACAGAGAGAGTGAGAAGAGTACGCTCATGTATCATTTCTCAGCTCACCGTAAAGATGCACAAGTCAGAAATATGCTCTTGAAACTGTGGAGAAGATCCCTGGCAGTGAAGCAGGAGTTAGTAATAATTATGCTGCCAAGGAGTGAGACAAAAGAGGTTCTCACAAGGGGAGGATGAGATGGTGACAACGGGAGAGCACACATAATTCTGGGGGCC